CCACTTTTCCCGCTGCGGCAAGGTAAAGCATTGCAAACGGAAATAATTCAAGTGCAATGCAAATCATGGCCCACCACGCTCAGGTAATTGTGTGCTCACCCAATGAGGAGCGGTAGCAGGAAGTCCTGGCCATGGCAATGGCAATGCCAGGAGCAGAGCAATCCGCACGGAAAACGGAAGATGGGCAAACTGACAGGCGGACAAAAGGGCGGAGGAATGGAGAAAGGACTCTTTCCGGAGAAAGTGTTTAATCGAAAGGAGCAAACACATTTCTGCCAGCGAATTTTCAGCCTCTTGTTTGCCAAGAGGAAAAACTTAAAACGGCGACGATTGCAAGGCATAAAAATCCATTTTTCAAGAAAAATTTATATTTCAACAGTCCAATCACAGCGTATTGAAATTGTAAAACAATTAACACAAACGAGAAGCTTAGGGCCAATGAAATATGATAAGTGTAAATTCTCACTTAAGCCATATGCTAGTTTTCGCTTTAAAGTAGTCTTACCTTACTTTCAACCCAATCATCAATTGGGCTGCCTGCATTGGCATAACTTGGCATAATAAATCGACAAAAATCCGAATGCATCGCTCAAATATTGGAGCGTTTATATATGCGATCCGAAGTCCCCGACTTCCGCAGACCAATCTTATCTGAACGCTGCAGTTGGAGGCGAGCAAACTTTGTTCCATTTAATTCAATTCAATCCTTGAGAGTTCAACGAATGCGGGGCAAGAAAACGGAAACGGCGAAGGAGCGAGCATTTATTTGGAAAATAAATAAATAGACAGGCCAAGGGGATATGGTGGGGGATGCAAGAGATAGTGAAGTATAAACAAACCGACAGCCGGACAAACAAACTTTTCCGAGAGCATAAAAATGGTGTAAAAAGTACTGCGCCAAGGAAAATCGAAAATGCGCCACATTTGCCCAGCCAGAACATCTATCAAATTTTGCGTTTATTTTCACCCATTCAGGGAAATCAAATGAAATGTGTGAACCAAACCAGATAAAACTACTGGAGAAATACACATGCGTGCTTAAAATGTAGTTGAAATCCTATTTCCATGTCCGTGCATCCTTTGGCTCGGTGGCAGGTCCTTTTCTTAAGTGGATTCCAATGGCAGCTTTTTGGCTTTCGGTGATTTGCAAAACGGCGTCTCTGAATAATCGCCCAACTGACCTTTGGAATGGAAACCAATCCAGAAGGGAAAAAAGTCATAGGTGAATGAGGAAAGCCTCAGCAGACCAAAGAGCATCCTTGCCAGAAGTTTTCATTTTATTTCATTTAATTTCCTTTCAGCGCTCATCATTTACAATAATGTCTACGTAAAATTAACATAAATTTGCGATTTTTCCAGTAGCTTAGACGAGTTTTTCACAACAGCAATCAGGGCAGTGGCATGGATACAGGAAAACAAATAAAAAGACAAAGGAAAAGCTGCAAAGTAGGATGAATAAAAAAGCGCGAAATATGCTAAAGTTGACAGCTTAGGGCCTTTTTGAGTCTTGGCGGCGTCTGAAGAATGGAAACAACCTCAAGCTGCCAGGATTTATGTGCTTAAGGTGAAGTGACCTGGCTAGAATCGAATCGGTGATCGCAAGGTGCAACGTCTTTAATGAGGAAAGCTGTTAAATCGAATTCTTGGGCAACAATTGAAACTCAATTTATCAGCGCCTTAAAGCTGGTTAAAGCTCCAAATAAAATCCCTCAAGCAACTTTTCGCAAATTGAAAACCAATTTCAATCGAAGACTATTCAGACAGCTAAGTGACAAATTTGTTTACGTTTAAGCATGTGGAAAATGCAAAACTCAAGCTCAATGCCCATATCAAAATTGTTTGCTGTAGCCCAACTTTAAGTGCTTAACGGCAAGCTCAATAAATTTCCCAACTTACACCAAAATAAGTTTTGCCAAGAGCTCGAAAAGTTTTCCTTTTTTCCTGTTTCTTTTTCTTTTTTATCCCCTTTCGAAAGGGAAAATAATTTCGAGTGTGCTAGAAACAGAATTACCAAATTTGCCTCTCCGGCAAACAAACGAAAAACGTGAGGATCTGGAAATCACTCTATATACAAGTACTACACATACAGTTCGCAGTTATATGTAACTACATTGTAACGACTGCCCTGGGAATCCCCCTACGTACCATAATCTTCATGTCTGTTTGCAACTGTTTGCGCTGACAGCTCGGGTTGGTTTTCCGGGCCGAGTTTGTGGGTGGGTTGCTGCTCGGGATTGCGTTTGGATGCACTCCCCTTTGTTCGCTTGCAGCGTGAAAATTGCACAAGATTGCATGTGCTCCTGCTCCGAAAATATTTATATTTATAATATTTTTTCTAGCTGTCATTTGGCCGTGTATCTGCTGTGTGTTGGGCACTGTTTTTTTCGTGTTTTTGGGCTAACACAAATTACGGTTTGCGGAGTGTTGCTGAGTGGCGGCATCGCCTGCGGTTGGCAGGGGCTAATAAATCAGAAAACAAAGTATTCTATGTGTGCCATATCAAGTCCAAAGTAGGCCAGAGTGGTAGAAACTTAATTGGAGTTTTAAAGCAACTGGCTAACTGGTGTTAAGTCAGAGTTACTCTAAGTCATTGAGCACTGGCAGCATTCCTTTAAGTTCTTTCACCTCTATTGTCACCTATAAAAATGCTTCCAAATTACATGCTCCTGCTCAAAGGATCTTTGGAGCCATCAAAGAACACAGCTTTCAATTTACGAATAACCGTTCAATCATCGCAGCTAATCAAGTGTTTCAAACAGGGAGCGAACGCCAAATGGAAATTGCTGCCCCCGGTAGCAGCTTTGGGTCCAGCTTCCCCCAAGCAGAAGGTCCCATAAATCACTTGCAAATTACCAGGGAATCGGGAAAATCCCGGCAAGGAGGAGGCGGTGGCCTAGAGAATCCATCCAGGCCACAGCCATTTCTCAGTGCCTATAATAAGCAAGTGAATGCGAATGTGGCTATGAATGTGACTGTGAATGCACAATTATGGCCGCTTCGTTGGTCGTAAAACAAGAAGGGATCCGCTGCCCTCTGACCCGCCCGCAGCCATCCCTGAATCCACCCTCTTTCACCCAGCTTTCCCTACACTTTTCCCGCTGCCCCCTTTGTCATGGTTGCCTTTGCCTCCAGTTGCACAGGCAAAGTCAGCGGCGGCGACATCAATAAAATAAACACTGACAGTGGGTGGCAGTGGGTAGAAGGGGTGGGTGTGGGCGGTGGGTCGGAAATCAGTGGGTGGGAAATCAGCAGGAAAGGCCGAAAAGGCCGGGCCAACACAATTGAACACGCGACATTTGGCCAATGCTCGCTGTTTGCTATCCACGATGTTGTCTTCACTGTCGTCGTCTCCACTTTGACTTTTATCTATTGACATAATATTTTTTTATGCTCCTGCAGCTGGAGGCGCTGGGTTTTTGGGGGCGTGTCACTGACTTTTGGGGCACTCACTGAAATAAGTATTTACATTTAATCTCAGACAATATTACATATAATACACCATATTTTACCATATTTCCTTTCAATGTAATTGACATTACCCTTTATCTTTAAACAATTAAAGATGCGAAAAAATTTGATTTCATCTCATCTCTCAAGGTCCCGATTTTTCCAGTGCATCGCTTGGTTTTCGCACTTCAGTCACCAAGTCACTCAACGAGTCCTTTAATCCAATGGCTTAGTGTCGACGGCTTGCTTAGATTTAGGAGTCACATTTGCAGCATAGTAAACGTGAAGATCCAATGTCATTAGGCTTAGAAAAGGAGATGGAAAATAGATTCAAGAGACTGGGAGATGAATTTCAAAGTGAGTTTCAATCCTATTTAGCCACATTTGATACGCAAAGAGAAGGAAACTGCACTTGAAACATAAAAACTGCGCACAAATTCGTGTTGAAGCTATACAATGTTTACAGTGCTGCACACTTCTATTGTTCCACCTCTTTCAAGCCTTGGGATCTGTACCTAGGCTCGTTTTGATTGCACCCCATAGAAATAACGAGGTGCCCACGTGCTCCCATTCTAGGGATTCACCGAAGCATTCTTTCAAATAGCTGCGCTTTTTATAACCCACACATCCGGCGAGTGCTGGAGATATCTCAGGCCATGTCCGTTTATGCAAGTGTTAAATAAAGTATCCGCCGGCCATTGTAGTTTATGCCCAGTTCGAGCGAGCCGCTGACATTTATTGCTTGTTTCAAAATGGGTTAGCAAGTTGGGAAGGGAGCAAAGGACCGAATGACAACATTTATTACGGCCCGGGCACATAAAACACGAGCAGCGGAGTTTATAGTTTAGCCGGTATCCGCCTTTCAGTCCAGAGGATAATGATAAACGTTCTTTTCAGGTAGGCTACTAATTAGGCTACCAAATCATCACACTCAGAAAAGCAATTCTCCTGCTTTTATCTAGAAGAATTTGGAAGTAACTTAATAACCATTAAATTGTGAAGTAATTTACATTTTCACCTTTAAAGCTGGAATGAATTCATTAAACTATATTTTTCTAAAAATAAGTAAAAGCTTTTTGTTACCATGCTTGACCTGACGCTTCAAATTAATAAACTCCTCAAACTCGCATTGTTATATTTCATTCTTGTGGCTAAGAACTTCATTTGGCTAGAACTTTATTTTTCAATTTGGTGTGCAGCATTTAAATTGGTTTTATTTAGTTATGTATTTTTATGCAGAGAACTTTTGCAAATAAACCATTTTATCGCACCGGTGGGATTTGTAATCCACACAAGCGTTATAAGTGCTCCCTCCACAGATCTCCGTCCCAGTCCCAAATCCTGAAAAATATCTTGAAAGGAAATCGAAAGAGAGAAAAGAAATAAAGAGTTTCAGGGACTTTTGGTCCTATCCTCGCAGCATTTCAAATTAAAAGCACTCGCCGCGTTTTATTGCTGTGCCTGCATTTTTCCGTACTTTTCCTGCTGCCAGTTTCTCGTGTTGGACATACAAATTTGTATGTCCATTTGGCCTTATTTCACACTTTCTTGTTTATTATTGCTGCTGTTGGCCGGGTCGAGAAGCATGAAGCGGGAAAAATTTAAGTATTTGAACCTTTTTCACTCCACGCCTTCTATGCCCAAATAATGCTGTTGCCATTGATTTATTCAGGGACTTTTGTTAACTCTTTTTGGTGTCTGCTCCTGTCCTTTATTCGCCTTAAACGCCAACTTAATTGTTGTGCCAATGTCCAGAAAGCAGGCAATTTACTTATTTTATGTTCTTTTTGGGGGCAGGACCCAACCTCGCATATCAGAAATAAAAAGGTGGAACAAAATCGGAGCATTCCATTAGGTCACTTAATTTAGCGCAAAATGATTAGCGACTAGCAATTTCAATGGTCGTAAGGGTTGAAATTCTTCAAGCGCGCTAAAATTGAGTAAAAATTTGCGTAAACAGAAGGCGCACTAATTAAAAAAGTGTAGGCAAATTAGAAAATAAATAAGTCAGCAACATTTATTTTATGGTCTTAATTTGGTGAATTGCAAAAGTGTTTGTTCAAAACGTGGTTTCAGTCACCCTTTTATAAAGTAATGATGCGCATTACTTAAAGCTTGCTATCATCAAGAGCTTGTCCAGTTGAGTACTTTTCATGCAGTTCATGGCAGTCTTTATTGGCCACATTTCTCCAGTTGTCTTGATCCATGTGATACAGTCTCACCAAACCCCCGGAAAAGATATCCCTCATGGTGGCATGATACACTGCACGGAAAGCCAGATCGTAGGCCTCATCGTCACTGAGATCCAAGCGGTAGTCAGTGTCCAAAATTCCCAGGGCATTGTGGGATCCACTGCCCACGGCGAAAACTTTTCCATGGAGCCGCAGGCCGTCGGAGTCCACGTACACCAAACTGAATCCCTCGGGCGACCAACCAGCCAACATCATTCCCATGCAGAGACCCATTCCCTTGTACTCCGCAGCCACGTTGCAGATGAATCTGGCAGCAGATCGGACTGGTAGTCGCTCCTTAAAGCGGAGCTCGTGCAGTCGGCACTCCCTGGTCAGAGCTCGATCCCAGTAGGTGCAATCCGCTGCACCACCAGCCATGGTACCCAGCATGTACTTGTTCACCTGCACCACTTTCTGCACGTTCTGGGATCCGATGAATTTTCCCGACGTGGCTCTGGAATCCACACACAGGATTATGCCACCTTGGTAAACAAAACCCACCGTTGTGGTTCCGTGGTCCCAATCCATTTGCACTTCACCTAGGGCACTCAGTTTATTCACACGTTCGCGAGGATTTTCAAATGGCGGAGCCATTATGGCGAGGGGATTATCCATGTTACTCGATGCGAGTCTGATTTCTTCAATTGTTTGCTTTGAGGTGCGGGATCCAAAGCTTCTCATATATGGCACCTTATCCATCCCACAAATTCTTTCCAAGGCCATAGTGAAAATAGCCACAGAAAAAAGCGTTTGCAGAAATGGTTATATTTCAAGTTTAAGTGCGGTGGCTGCACGTTAAGTATAAACAGTAATATGTTGAATTTGTTCATTTCTGACTCATTTTTCCTGGCATTCATGTATGAAGTTTTTTTAAGACATGACCCTTAAACAAAATGCCCAAAATTTAAGCAAGCATCTGAACAAACCCAAGCAGAGCCATTACCACTAGTATAAGTTCTCTAAGAAAGTCAAGAACCCAAAACATAATACATATACAAAAAAATATGCAAAATATACAGCAACACAGCCTCCACCTAAACGGAACTCAATAAAAAGCACGCCAACAATTTTGTATTTACAATATCCTCGTGATAAATTCATGCTGCTGGATTGTGTTTTTTTTTTTTTGTTTGGTCGGTTTTGGCAGCATTTACCCATGTGCAGATTAAAAATATGTTAGCCATGGGTTTTATGAGTTTTTCGCATTTTATGACGTTCCCAGGATATGCCCAAGAAATGGAAGGCGAAAATTGAATATTAAATAACCTCAAGCAATAAACACAATTACACGGCATGCGAATGTTGTGTAGTTGCATGTGTGAATTGTTTATGATATTAATATCCGTTTGTTTGTGCAATCATTTAAAAAGGATTACACGATTAGTATTGGATGCGGACATTTATGAGCGATGCGGAAATTGTCATTTATATTAATTTTGCTGGGCTAAACATATGTTAAATAGCTGCCAAGGCGGATTAAATGACAGCCAGTGTAATGATAGCCACCAAAATAAGCAAGTATAAATATTTGGACAGAATATATGGCTTGGCTTTTTATATGGGTTTCAGTCAGAAGTTTCCCTTCCTAGTCTCCCATTTTTCCAAAACTTTTTCTTCTATTGCAGGTAGTGCATTACTCGTAAAGTAAATGGGTATGCTAGATTCTTTGATAAGATTGGAATGAGGCGTATAAAGTATATATATTCTTTATCAGGATCATCAGCCGAGTCGATCTGTCCATTTTCGCAGGTCTATCTGTCCGTATAAACGTCGAGATAAACTGTGACGCCCACACTTTGATAAATGATTTGAAATTTTTTCATTTTATTATTAGTCTTGACCATTTTAATCGGAATACCAACCACATTTTGGCCACGCCTTTGCTAACGCCCACAAACTACCGAAACCCACACTTTGGAATTGTCTTTGGTTTATTTTCATTTTATTATTTTTCTTGCCTATTTCTACGGATTTAAAACAAAAAAAAATTTTAATTTCTTCTTTGCAATCCCACTAGCGCAGTAAGTGTTATCTATTAGTCGAAAAACTCGACTAGAGCGTTTTTCTATTTAATTATAGAATTATAATTCTATACACATTTATATTTAATTTTATATCCTTATGAAATTATATTTTTTCTGAATGCGGGCAGATGAAAACACAGAACTACTGGGAGCTTGAAAATCCAAGTCAGCCATTAGCCAAATTGTTGGGGTAATCAATTTTAATGTTCGACCTGACCGTAGGACCACAAAATGTTTAACAATTGAAATGTGTGCGGCCTGTCAAAGGTTAAAGGCGTTTTGTTGTATTGCCAAATTTGCTCTTGACCAACGGCTAAGGCGACGAAAGTGGGCGGACCACGATGAGGACCACATTGTCAATCAGGAATTCCTTAAACACAGCAATGCCCCCACCATTTAGCCTCTTCCTCAACGATTCTCTGGGTTATTTGCCAAAGTCGAAATGGCAAACACTTGGTCTATTCCTCCGAATTAGGCTGGTCCTTGGGTTTGGGCTTGTCACCTGGTCCAGGCCGGCTGCTGTGTCGAAATTTATGTATTGCAGTTGACTTATTGGGGTCACTACAGCCCACTTTGGACCCCGACCCCAACTAACTGTGCTGTTGATTCGCTTTGATTTGGCCAGAATGCCCCTGAGCTGGCCAACTGTGTGGGTCGATGCTGCGTTTTGAATTCGGTTTTGGCCGGCTCTGGGGGAAGTACCCTATTTAATGAGAGCTAATTATGTTTAATTATTCATTTGGGATGACGTTTCAGATTTGGATAGAAGGAGCTCTTCTTTCTCAGCTTCTCGCAGGAGAGGAAGCACGAATAAATTAAGTCAATTAGGTAAAACACTCGGAAAATAAAGTTAATATAATTTTATTTCGGTAACAGCATTTTATTGATGATTTTTTTGTTGTGGTATCGGATATTAGGTAATTTTCATAGTGCAATGTAATTTTAATAACGGAAAAGTAATAACTATTAACATATTATCCATAAATTCGGCGAGAATTTCATTTTCATTTCATCCAAAAGAAAAATGAAGGCTTTTTGGCGATTATCAAATTTATTATAAAAATTGGATTGTACAATATTATACAATTGTAATAGAATTCGCATTTACATATTGAACTCCACTTCCTTAATATTATTTCACCATATCTTGCACAGAAAAGATTTTATTTTCTTTTATTTTAGATTTCAAATCATCAGTCGCAGATTGATCAAAAGAATCATCATTTTTACCATCATTGCCCACTTGAATTGTAATCATCGTGAAATTTCTATCCGAAATACTGGAGTTAACTTTTTCCTTGCCGGACTCAATTTCTATATTTATGTTACTATTTTCATTTTTACAAATATGTTTTGAGTTGCATTCTGCATAGATTTCCTCATTTACGGTGGTTTCATGTTTACGGTCTCGTAAAAGATCGGGAAAAGCTTGCAATCTAGAATTGAAATGTTTATAATATCCATCATTAGATTTCAATTCATTTTTATTTGAACGTTGTTCAGTGGGATCAATATCAGTGGCACTATCTGCTTCTGCAAAGTCAAGCTCGATTGATTCTAACGTGCTTCTCATCAGCTTTAAGCATTTTTCCAATTCATATGCCGCTTTCGAAGGATAATTAGGAGGACATGAAACCGAGTCATTTTCACATTTTGACTTGCACATCCCTTCAGGTGATTCATTATTCATTTCATCTGGTGCAGATTCCTTTTTGCCGTTCAATGGTTTTATAGCTTCACTCGTCGATTGATCTAGAATTGCATTCGAATCACACTTTGGTGATTTGGTGGTATTTAAATCCTTACAAAATATAGTTTGGGTTTTATTGGAATTTTGGACACTGGCCCCGATTTTAATCGGTTCTGTTACATATGTTTTCGCTTCAGTCGCAAAATCATTTTCTTTTCTTTCCAAATCAATTTTAGATATGGTGATATCGCCAGGATTTATAACAAAATTTATATGAAGAGAATAGTTCGCACTTTCACTTACATGTGAGCCAATTTTATTTGTATCACTTTCGCTCGAGATTATTTGAACAGAAAACTTATCACCCAGTTGAATGTCACTTAAATCGCTAAGGTTCGATTGATTCGTAGATAACCCATTTTTAGTGCCACCGCTTCTATTAAGTTCAATCAATTTGATTTGAATCCTTCTAATATCCTTTAAATCGACTAGAACTGGTTCACTTTTGTGTGTATTTGCAGTAGGCAACAATTTTTTGATGAATCCCATATCCTTGAAATAATTTTTAGTGTGGTAGGTATTTTTCGATATATATTTAGTAGGGGCGATCTTTGTCGGACTTCTTGGATTGCTACTGGAGCATTTATCCGTCTTAGCTGTTATGTTCTCTTCTCCAAATCTTTTCAGGAACTCGTCGATTTCTTTTCTAATACCATCAACTATTGAATCTGTCAACATTTCAGAGTTCATGCTCGTAAGGTTATTTAGCAAAACAAGAACTTCTTCCGTCAAGTTGTTAATTAAGACGCTGTTTTCTTCAGCTTTTAGCATAAATGCCTTAAGTTCCGATTCCCTATGATTCATGAGTGTTGTGGGGTCATTAGGTTTCTTTACCAAATTACCATTCACTTTGGTCTGTCCCACAGTTCCCATTGCGTTTTGATTATTCATTAAATATTTTTTCGTCGCGTAGAGTTTTTCTTGTTGAGTACTCACATAATTCTGATCAAGGTCGATTTTCTTTAATGATTGATTTAGATTTGCAATATTATTTTGAATCCACTCCAAGCCGTCGGGTAAAGTGAAGCTCCTCACGCGGTTGTCGTCCATAATTTTGATGCACTTCAATTGGTTGGGCATGTTCGTGAAAGTCAGAAAAATTTCATTTTCGTCATTTTTAACATCAAAAGTAGTCTCGACACTGCTGTCTTTTGCAGTTTCTTGAACTTTTTCAAAAGTCCTTTCCCACAGTTTAAGCTCGTTCTGTACTTTGAAATGGGCCTTTTGGAGCATGTTCTTCCAGTTATCATAGTCACTTTTCATATTTTCTATCTGACTGTAGAGCTTCGAGCAGTCAAATCTGTCGGCTACCTTTAAGTTCATATCTTGCTCGATTTTATCTGCAGTGGCTGCTCCTGACTTCGTTTCTGATTTCAGGGCTAGATTCATTTTGCTCTGGCAGTAAAATACATTTTATTATTCATTGATGGGCTAATATTAGTGTACTTCTCACCGAGTATAATTTTTATTCAATTTTTTTTCAGCAAATAAATTTGTTTTGATATCGAACTCAACTTGCCGGCTTACAAATCTTAACTGAGCACTTCAACTGGCTTGTTTAACATAGAACTCAAATGCTTCTCAGTTCGGCTTTTTTGTTCACGTTTTCTATATTTTGGAAAAGGTTGCTCAGAATAATAATAATAATAATGTAAGCTAATACATCTCGAACTTGTGGAAGACCCCTGAACTCGGACATCTCCACCACCGCATCCGAAACTTGAGAATTTGCCCACCGCAAAGGACAAGGTATATTCCACAGAAACGCTCCAAAGTATGCAGCAACAATTCATCGCCAGGACAAGGCTTTTAATCAAGCCAAGGACTCAGCCACGCTCACAGGCGAGCTTGTATGTAGCACATGAATGTTAACATCTTCCTGCACATATGTACATATGTATGTGTGCTCCTCGGAGACAGAGGCAACATAATCACATGCGTAGCTGCCATTTCCGTTGCATATTTACAGGCGCCTTCTCCTTGAACCGCCCGATGATATATAACTGCGATTCGCAGGCTGTAAATTTTGACTTTCAATGCGGGCATGGGAATTTGACATTTACTAATTGTCGGATTATGCGGCTGAAGAGCCCCGTGAAGATGCCAGGACTCGAAATGCACCCTCAATCGAAAAACTCTCATTTGTGTAAACCGAATAGGAAACATCTCGCAAATGAAACGGGTTAAGCTGCTCTTCACTTTCCTGCCGAAGGCTGTAGAGCCAGGAAACTCGACTTAGTTCTATTTCCGCTCCAGCGGAGGAAGCTCCAGCATCTGTCATCGGCATATCGACGGCATTAATTAATCAACGTTATGCATGTCAATCGAGAAGTGTGCCATCCAGCCATCTACCTCTAATGCTCGTTGGCATTTTCATCTTTTTTCTTCCGACCAGAATATCACTTTCGCAAATTGAAGTTGCCTTTCCTGTTTCTCGATTTCTGTTGTTGCATGTGTGGCATGCTTCATGGCAGTCATGCATATTCATTGTTTACAGACGCACAAGCACCCACAAACATAAACAATCACTTGGCAATTTTACCTGATTTCTTTTCAAAAACATCCAACTCAACCCCAATTAGTTTCCACTTCTCTTCCGGGCTTGTTTTCCATTGCAATCGGCATGGTATGGACAAAGACACTAGAATAATAAGATGCGTAACGGCCATTCATTGGTTTTGCACTATGCAGCCACTTTTTTGGTGGCGGCAATAATTGTTCTCTTCCCGCCCGCATAAAATTGAATTAATTGAATAATAGAATTCACTTGCTTGTGTGAGTGAAAACAGTAAACAAAAAAGTTGTGCTAGAAGACGATTTTCGGTCCTAAATCAATTTTGATCTAAGAAACGAATTTGATTAATGTTTTGGTCAATTTCGTTGTAATATGAGCTAAATACTATTTAAAAATTGATGCCGTGACTATTATTCTTTTTTAAGAAGTTGTTTTAATTTATTTTCCACGTCGTAGGCTGAATATTCTAACGACATATTTTCTAGTATAAAGTAATTATTATAATAAAGTAATATTAAAATAATTCGGTATTATTATGTACATGTATTCACCTATTACTATTTCTATGATGTAATTAAATTAAATTATCATATTAAGGCAATCCGAAATTCGAGTTCTTACTTTTTACTAACGAGTACTTTGTGCTCGATTGCCAGAGTACAAATAATATAGATTTTTGTTTAGGAAACATATTTTCTTGTAGCCCTATAACTCCCAACTAGTTCTAGTGAGGAGGCATGTCTTCTAATTTAGAGTCTCAAAATATTTCAAGTAATCTCTCTTACCGGTCGAGCAGTGAGTGTAGTGTATGTACCGGTGTATGTATGTATGTATGTATGTATGTATGTATGTATGTATGTATGTATGTATGTATGTATGTATGTAGTGTATGTGTTACTTGCACAAAGTAGTAAAAATTGTCTTAATTAAAGCCTGAAGAATGTTTAACTGACTGTCGGAACTCATAGTTATTGCAGCCTTTAATATTTGCTTAGGAAAAATATTGTCTTGTAGCCCTATAATTCCCAACTAGTTCTAGTCTGGACTGTAAGGCATGTAAGTCATTTAGAGTCGCAAAATAGTTCAGTGAGTGTATGTGTACCGGTGTATGTGTGTGTGTGTGTGTGTATGTATGTATGTATGTATGTATGTATGTATGTATGTATGTATGTATGTATGTATGTATGTATGTATGTATGTATGTATGTATATAGGTATGTATGTGTGTAGGTATGTATGTGTGTATGCATGTATGTATGTATGCAGTGTATTTATGTATGTATGTGTGTATGCATGTATGTATGTATGCAGTGTATGTGTTACTAGCACAAAGTAGTAAAAATTGCAAAGCCGTACATTTTGGGTAATTCAAAAACATATCATTTGCCGTACTAATTCTCCACAAGTGTCTCAAAGCTAACGCCTTTTTTATTGGCAATTTAAGGGAATTTGCGTTCCTGCTTTCAATTTATATTTATTTATTGGGTTGGACATACATAAATTCGATGTTGTAGGACCCATAACAATCATAATCTTCGATATAATTTCCACTTTATGGTTGCCCAGCTGCTAGGCGATAAAAATTTGCACATTGATATGCTTTTATGGTAGCAAACAATAAAATAAGGGAAGTAAACAAATAAACAATGTATGGAACATCAGAGAGCAATTTCAATGCAAAGAGCCTCGAGACACACAATCACATGCTAGGCATTCTTCCCATTTTCCTACTCGTTAGAATGCAAAAGCCTTCAATGTGTTGACAGTTTATAGACAAAAGGTTAGTCGGAAAAGCTGGCTAGAATAACTTGTAATTTGACAAAATCCATAAACCATAAATTCCGGGCCAAACCAGCACTGAAATTGCCACATCCCCCTAAGGAAATTCCTCCATTGTCTTTGCCAGTAGATTTGTGCGAAGACCCCAAAAGAAAACTGTCTCGTAATCGCAGGCAATAAAAAAACAGAAACACATAAAATATTATCGAGTACAGTAGAGCGAGTAGTTGGCAACCCTAGGAGCCGCATAAAAATCCCTCAAGACCATAAATCGCCATCAGCCAGAAACCATCACGACTATTAGGTTAAATCAACCCAAAGACACGAGCCGAAATCAGCATTGGATGAATTTAGTGCCCACTTTTGGGTGTTTATCATGCAATAGTCGGTTCCATCTTATGAAATGTCCAATTAAAGGGCTTGTGCTATGATTCCCCTATAACATAGTAGCTTAAGCTCCAATGAGCTGCAGCTCATAAATTCGGAATGCTCTTAACCACTTTTCATTTCTAAAATTTGTCTTTCATGGAATGACGACGTTTTCGAATCGAACTGATACAATGTTTATTGTTAAAGCTTATGGATTAATTGGAAAATATCTCTTAAATAACTGTGTTCGTAAACGTAAAGTTTAAATAAAAGGGAAAGCATACATTAAAAACAAAAATCAGCAGTTCAGACAAATGCAGCAGTTTTTAAGAGTTTTTAAGCAGCAAAATAGGGTTTTCCTGCCTTTTTCCCCTGAAACTTAGTTTGCTGCCAGGGAAAAGAGAGTTGGAAAAGTGAAGCGAAGCTGGCAAACATTTCGGCACTTTCTGCTCCAAACACATGCAGACAGCTTAAGCGCTTGATGCTTGTCTTTTCCTTAGAACCACCCGTTATCCAGAGAAGCACCCGGACCACCCAGACTGCATCGGTTATTAAATTTGCGTGGAACATCCCTTCGGTACTGTGCAGGTTGAGCCTTCGCCTGGGATGTGCGGTAGCCAAGCTCATAGTTTACGGAGTTAGTTGGCCTAACTAAGTTTTGCACCAATTCCAAAAGTTTAGGCCCAACTCGGAGCCCCCAGCTCACCGAAAATGCGATTAGAATCCATAGAACTTTGGCCCAAGTAGAAAAGGGGATAAAGAAAATGGATGGCCGGCAATTGAATGTTTAATAAATTGATTTACAATCGACATTAGAATTTTACAAAATGATGGAATTTATAAAAATGAGTAGGTATTGATATAATCACAATTAATCATTTAATAAAACTTACTCGAAGCTAAGTATGTTTTAAATCCCTATTTAAATCCTGAGTTCAATTTCGCATCCGTGTCCCACCTCAAAGTGATCAAAACACCAAATTTTCAACTGTCCCAGGCTTGCAAAATTCCAGGGTTGACTCCTGTCGAATCTTGACATGTTCTGAGTTGTGAGTCCATCCTCATTTTCATCCTGGCTGTCTGGGAAATCGCATTTGAGCACGCCGGCACAATTCAATTAATGGGCATTCAAATGATACAAACCTGCTGAGGCATTTTTAGTGCAGCCGCCCAGTCGTGTGCTCCGTTTCATTAGCAGCCGCCCCGAGTGGATTGAGGTAATACCAGGGGATGCATGAAAAAGAGGCAGGAGCTAGTGCAAAGCCCCTAACTCCCCTTCCTCCTCACAAGACCCATGACAACTACAGCACGTGTCGCATGGCCAAGGAAAAACAACAGGTGCGAGGAGAAAAACAACAACATCCTTGGTAAGAGAAACTAATGCACTGGGAAAAAAAACCAGGCACTACGCTATGGTCGAGTGCATGGACACCCGCTGTAGGCAGCCATGAGACAGTTCATGCGGACATATACGGACGGACATGGCCAGATAGACTCAGCTAATTATTTTGAGAAAGAATATGTCGGCCAAAGGGGGAGTCTTATCCATTTTGTTTGTAAGTTTTATAATTTTGGTGCAGCAGCACATCAAGTTCCGATCTATTCCACCAGTCAAACTTCACTGAGGTGATTTTCTCCTTTTTGCCAATCTTCCTCATATTCTATTCGGTCTACACACAACACAGGCGTTCACTATATGGTCATCCCTCTCTAACACACTATTTAT